ATCTAAATCAAAGGTCATAATCGAAACTTCACGTGTATTGTATGTCATTTTCATGCATTCTTTTCTATATTTTTCAAAAATGATCAGTTTTAAAAGAATTTCGTCTGATACATTATCAGAGGAAAAAGAGGCCCTAACTCCTCCTCTTTCGATTGGTGAAAGCTACAGGTCTCTAGCTGTTTGCGTTCTCGAGTTATTCAAAAAACAGTCACACGCACGGACTTTTTGGACGGGCTATAGTTTGTATCTTCTGGTCTCGCTCATGGTCCACAATACCGAGATCGGCAAACTAAAATTTGTTCCACCCATTTTTAGCTTTTCCCCATTGTTTCTGATCGCTTATTGTAGTTATATTAATTAAATATTCTCTTACACTTATTATTATCTGATTTGGAGCGATATCATTGTTAAGAGTCTATTCTTGGCCACACGGACAAAATTATTTGTACATTTGTTACATCTAAGTGGTTCAAATTTCTTTGGTGATGGCTGTTAATAATGAAAAATCAAGGAATATTTTGTGGAACTCACATATATTTTCGAAGAAAATAGTGAGTGTAAGTTTTTAAGGTCAAATTTTCGTGGCTCCCCCTCCCCATTATAGACACCATAGCAACGGAAGCCCCCATTACGGACCTTGGCAATCGAGAATTAAAGATGTTAGATTTTCTAGTTTTTTTTTGGAAAATTGATCAAGTAATAATTTTGAAAAATAGTGAATATTATTATTTGTGACTTGATTAATATATATGATAGTTTGTAAGATCTGTTGTAGATATCACATATATGTAAAGCACACTTATTCATCAATCAATTCAATGATGATAATAATAATAATAATAAATTAAGAAAAACGAATTTAAAAAAATGAAAAATAATGAGCGAATGGCAACAATGAAAACAAAAAATAGGGCGCCCGTAGAAAAAAAGTTTTGTTTGAAATGCAGAAACTCGAGAAGTTTTTACTTCAGTGATTGATTATCCTGCAACACAATTATAGTTTACGAGAGATTTTTCGTTTTACGTTGTTTGTATTACTATAATCAGGCCCGAGAGCATATGTGAGTTCCACATTTCCGCCCCAAAGGGGCTGCGCTAACAAGCTTTTTGATAGAGTAAAATGTCATTTGAATTCATCCACAAAAAATACCTGAAAATTTATTCAACTCCAGTCAATTTGGACTTATAATTATTTAGAATGATTAATATCTTCTGATGCATTTGTTGTATGTGCTTATTTCTCTCCCAATTACTTACCATTAGAATTGAAATTTTCTAAAGGTAGAATTTTTTATTGGAAAATGATAAAATAATATTTTTAAGATTTCATTGTTAAGGAAATATTTAATTCGAATGAAATTTTGTTTAATTTTTTTTAAAGTGATAGTTTCAGAGTACGATAAAAATTTTAAATGGTAAAATAGCTTTTTTTCTAGATTTTTATATATAAATGCTTAACTTATTGATTAATATTTCTATATACATGATCATCAATTCAGTGTCATAATTGCCATCTGATGCTGCAGAAGATAAATCAAGATGAATTGGTAATATTACATTAGCAACAAGAATTTTAGAATATCCATTAGTTGTGAATAATTATGACCAACAGCAGCAATTAAAGACGTCAAATTTATTAGTACTAAAAAATTGCGCGAAAATATTATTAACAGTAGACTAAACCAATTTTTTTCTGAGCTCTACTTTTTAGTTCATTTCATTTATTTGTGTAAGGAGACAGGTTTTCAATTTATGAAGTTGTTCAAATGAACTGAACTGCTTTTTGCTGTACCGCATTTCACGGAAACTAACTTTTATTAAATATTCAGATAGACATACATCGCAGCGCTTGCCAGGATTCCAGCACAAAAATCATTTGCAAAGGATGCTCCCCATGGCATTTATCAAGACGCTATGATGTATGGATAGATATTTTCTAGTACTAAATAAAGATTAGACAGCAAGATATCCATTCGAGATCTTGAACATGTTTATCATCAGCACTCAATATCTAGTTATCTGACTAAAGATCAGTGTAAAATGTTATACAAGATATTCTGTATTCATCTCCGATTATACAATGAAATTATTAATCTATTTCTTTTTATCGACTTCATCGCATGTTTTTTTTTTGTGCTTGTCGTATGCTTCGAAGTGAATCGTTCTGCGAGTGATCTGTAGTGAGAAATTCATTGAAGTCATTCATTTACATTCATGTTGGATGTGGGTGTGATACTCTTCTGTCACCCACACCCCACCCGCACCCGCACCCACATCCACATCCACACCCGCACCTAACTTCGTTTTTACAGCATAAATAGACCACGATGAGCTGCGTTGCATGGCGTTTGAACGAACTTTCTAGCTCCCACAGTTTCCGAGATAATTGACAAAAGGTATGTCAAAAATGTAACAGTGTTACGTTTGGACAAGCCGATGTGCCTTATAATTCGTCTTAAATATTAAGTGCTATTTTTTAATAATATGATCTAGAGTTCAATTGATTAAGAAATATAGAACAATGAAAAGGCTGCTTTAAATAAAATGTAAGAATTTACATGTATAGAAACTAGAATAAATTTTTTTTTCTGTTTTTCTTATTAATCTGTACGCCATACGACAACTTGTATGCCTTTTTTTTAATAATCTTCACGTCGAATAGTCGCTTGATTCATTTCAATTTGTTCGATTTTATGTTTGATGCCTGGTCGGTCATGATGATGTTCTGATAATTTTGGCTTTAATGGCGTAACATTCCAAATGTCTTTAGCATATTCAGTAATCGTCCGATCCGATGAAAATTTGCCTGCTCCAGCTATGTTTAAAATACATTTTTTTGTCCATTCGATTTGATTCTAAATTAAAACTAAGAAATTAAAAAAAAGAAAAAGGAAAAGGTTTTTTTGTTTATACTTTGTAAAGTTGTTCAACACGTTCTTGTGCTTTCACATATTCGGCATAATCTGCAAGCAACATATAACTATAAAATAGAATAAGAAATATTTTATTCGAAAGAAAACTTTTAACTTACTGATCATTTAATTCAAGTAGATTTTTAATAATATCAGCAAATAGATTTGGATCTTCAGGTGAAAAAAATCCATCTCGTATTTGATCTAATGCTCGTTTTAATTCCGGTTCATGTTCATAATATTCCTTCGATTTGTATCTATATTATTTATTTTAAAAATTCAATTTCAAATGAAACATAACATATACAGCAGTTATCAAAATCATTTCAACGAGGCTTTCTTTCAATTGTTTTCGCCTGTCTCAAATTCCAAAAAGATTCCGTTCAGTGCTTCGAGTAGAGAAAACTCTTACGAAAATAAACATTATTAATGAATTCCTAAAGATCAAGCCTCGAGAAAAAAAAACTCGAATTGTTCAGCATCTAGAATGCGTGGTTATCATTTTGCTGACAGTAAATAAGATGGTAGAACAAACAATTCTCCAAAAAACGAGACGTCTGCAAGTTTTCTACTATGCTATTTGTTTGAGATATAGCAATCTGATGGAACATTCACTAATACATTTCTCGTAGAACAAAAACAAAACAAACTACGTTTGTAGTCATGCATACCCCCATTGTATTGAAATTAGAAAACGTCGCAAAGAAATCGAAGGCGTCTCATTTTGTAGAGATGTGCTTGCTCCACTGTTTTAGGTAGTATAAACATAATGAAAATACGGCATTCTAACGGGTGATCCATAATAAATGGCCACACTTTGCATTGCATTTTTTAATTTCAAAATACGTATTAGTAAAAAAAAACTATACCACCAGTTGCAGCGTGAAAAGCTCTACAATCTAGGAAGTAGAACTTATTTTAATTGCGCACTTTTTCTTTTCAAAACTATGTACGACCAATTTTCGCCGTTGTGAAAGCATCATTTTTTTCAATATGGATGAGAAATTCCTTTTTTTCTTATTTCATGTATAAAATAAACTGCTCTATGCAAATTGTAGAGCTTTTCATGCTACATCTTTTGGTATATTTTTTTTTTTTTTTTTTACCAAAGCATATTGGTTGATAAAAAGATAAAATAAGAAAAAAGAGTATCCCGTTCGTGTAGAAAAAAATGATGTTTTTGCAAAGACAAAAAAACCTTATAGAATTTTTCTTTTTTTGAAAACAAAAAGTGCACAATTAAAAAAAGCTTTACATTGTAGATTGTAGAGCTTTTCACACTGCATCTCGTGGTATAGCTTGTTTTTTTACTAATACGTATTTTGAAATTAAAATATGCAATGCAAAGTGCGGCCATTTATTATGGGTCCCCTGTTAAATACTGGCAAATTAGAGTTTGGGTCACCGGGAGATCTCATCTTCAGGAATTCACTTATCATTTTCCTTTTCGTATATTTTTTGTTACAAGAAACTTTTCAGATAGTAGAAGAAAATTGAAAATAAGCATTGTTGAATTATTTTGTGAGTCAATGTATATATCAATATGGCTTTTACCCTTTTTCACGTAATGCATCAACTTCTTCAACTGTCATACCGAATATAAATATATTATCACGTCCAACTTCTTCATCTATTTCAACATTTGCACCATCGTATGTACCAATGGTTAATGCTCCATTGAGCATCATTTTCATATTACCTGTACCTGATGCTTCCAAACCAGCCAATGATATTTGTTCAGATAAATCAACGGCCGGAATAATTTTTTCAGCTTAAAAGCAAAAAAATATAGATTTTTTGAGAAACTGGAATCAGTTACTAGAAACAAACGCATTTTTTTTTTATCAAAACTCAGTATGAGATTAGAAGTTCAGACAAGTTCAATAGTTGCATGTCGAGTAGACAAAGTTTCGCGTAAGTAGTTCTTTCTCTTTTTTATGAGGCTCGGGTTAAACTTTTTGAGGTTTAATAAATGGATAACATTCAGAGAGATGCACAAATGATTAACTTGCAAAAGCATCATGTATATCTATTGAACTGCTCAAAGTATTGAAATAAAAGACTAGATTTTTGAATATAAAACAGACTGTGTCACACAGCGTATACAAAGCCAAAAGTTCTAGGATAATATTGCTTTAAATTTGCCTTACAATTCGAACAAAGTATCGAATTAAATATACAATTTTGACTTAAGTCGATTTTTTCAAACAAGTCTTTCTATTAATAACATCCATGATTGAATACCTGTGTTGTTCGATCCGTATCTAAAAAAAAAGGTACTGTGCTCAAACCTCAGTATCACCAACTATGGGGATAGCGCTGGACAATTCACTAACGGCTATTTGTCTCGACCATCCGTCCGATAGTATGCTGACTACGTAGTGACATACATCGGCTCTTGGGACCAGTGCGTTTGGTGAGCTCAACCAATCGAGTACAAAAACTCTACATCAAACTGACATACTATCCAGAGCTATAACCAATATTAGCTGTAGAGAAGATATTGCGCTATGGAATCTGCCGTAAATTAGACAAAAGACAGGAGTATTCCTTCATCCTTGCTTTCTATGAATAACAGCCATTATTTTGTGTTTCATACTTTTATCGTATAAGAATTAAGCTAAAGGATTTTTATTATGATATACATACCAAGACTAACACGATAATTTTCAAGAAAAAGAACCCTCAGACGATCACCAACTGCTGAATCATCACTAATTGTACGTGCAATATTACATATTAGTTTGATAACTAAAACCAAAACAAAATTATCTTTCAACGTCTTTTGTCCTTTTAACTTACTTAATTTCGCCAGTAGATAACCAGGTGCAGCCTAAAAGAAAGAATTAATCTTTATTCATTAAAATAAACATTTTTTTTCCTAACCTTTCCACTAAAAATAACTGTACGTGGTACAATATCAATATTTGGATTATCTTTAATACGATTGTATAGTGTAATAACATGAAGACAATTTAGCAATTGTCGTTTATATTCATGAATACGTTTTACTTGTACATCAAATATTGTCTCTGGATTAACTTTTATATTAAAATCATGTTGAAGAACTTTAGCTAAATGCTTTTTATTTTCCTAAAAATAATTGAAATTTTTTTTCAAGATATTTCCCTAGAATTAAGAAATAAACATACAAGTTTGGTGTGTTGAACATCACGAATAAATTGTTCATCATTAATATAAGCACGTAATTTTGCTAATTCTGATAAATCTGTAATCCAATCATCACCAATTTTACTTGAAATAAGTTCAGACAAATCTGGATTACATAAAAGTAGCCAACGACGTGGTGTTATACCATTTGTTTTATTTTGAAATTTTTCTGGATTAAGCTCATAAAAGTCCTTAAATCTAATTATAAAAAAAAGTTCGAAAACACAACAACTTTAGATGAAATAAAGAAAAGCATATGTACAATGTAGATTTAAGTAAACGACTATGTAATTGAGCTACACCATTAACTGCATGTGACCCGACTACAGATAAATAAGCCATTTTGACTACCTGGAATGAAAAACGAGGAAATAGATATTGATAAAAAATTGCGCAATATGTTTTATGAAACTTGACGTCTATCAATATGAATGAGTTCTAGTATGAGATTTAGGTGAGTTCTAGCTCGAACATTCTCTATTACATTCAGATCAAACAATAAGATCTTACATGATTTATATCTGATCTTGTACGATCTTTTAAAAATCAGATGAAAGCGTACGAGCATGCGGGATGTCTGCAAAATTTACATCAAATCTTGACCAATACGATTCTTACAAGATCTTATATGGCCTTTCAAAAAGATCGTACGCCGACACTTCATGTAGGGTTTACAGAGACCACGATTTCTCGTGTGTTTTTTATACGATTCAATGTCTTGTGAAAGATCTTACATCTGATTTTTTTACCTGGGAATAGTTCTAATCGATTTCAAGGTAATCGTAGCTAGTACGATGAAGATCGACAGCCTTTATTAGACTCTGGCCTAAGTTATTGCTACTTGAGCTAACTCTTTCCTCCAATATACATAACAAGAAGTTCCTAAATTGAAATAGAGAGGTAACTAGAAAAAGATTCTACAAGTAACCCAATCACTTCGAAGCTGTTCTCTATAATGGTTCAACCCCTCGTGAGCTCTTCGTCATGTAGCTTTTACCTGTTGCCATGGTATTTTAAAGATTTTTATAAGAGAAAACTACTTTTGAGTGCTGCTTCTGACTATACTATTAAAATAGAGATATGCTTCTTTGCCGTACACGATAGAATAGAGCAACGAAAACTATCAAAGACAAAAACGGTATCGTGAATGAAACGTTTCACACTTAATACATGTTTGGCTCTAAGAAAATTGAAATTCGCATGTCAAGTAATGTTAAATGACCCTAACCAATTAGGAAATAATTAAAAATTTGACAAAATATAGCAAGCCTTTTTTAACAAAAGATTTGAAAATTAGTCGATTTGAAATCTGGTATCAACTGTGTTTTCGTATGAACATTGTTAATAGTACGAAAGGTAAGTTTCGTCTTCTGTAAAAACCTAACATGTAACCATACATGGACATATGTTTAATAAGTATTAACTGCAGAATTTTCTGTAGCCATTTTAATAAGAGGCTTTATATGGTAAGCTAAGCTATGAAGATGCATGGAACGAATTTTGATCTTCATCTGGCAAGACATGACACAGATCAAAGAATATTTTATGGATGAGTTCCTTTTTTATTCAGTTGTCCAGACTTATCTTTGGCAAATGCAGAAATACTAGCTCATCTTTAATAAATTATGCTATCTCAACCTATATCGCAAACCGATGAGTTTAAAGTAAGAGAAACATTTTTAAAAGTGTTTTATAGATCACAATAGAGTCATTATTATTATAGCTAAAATCTGTACAACACGATTGTTTATAAATAATGAATTCAATAACAAGATAGTTACTCGTCATTCTCTCAATAGTTCCTAGAAGAAACGTCTCTTCATTACGATTTTTAATAGAGAAGAAGATGTGGCTTATCAATATTTTTTATCACCAAATTTACAATTAATACAATAACAGATAGTAAAATAACTAACAATCATACTTATACAAAAATAGATTAAGACAAAACAATTACCCAATGTAGAATAAATAGTAGAAACAGAAGCATAATGTTACGCAAAAATCATGGTAGCAATGCTGCCCGAACTTTCTTTTGGCGGTCTGGAATTTTGTTTTCCCAAAGGCGCATTACGAGTTTTATCTTTAATTTGATACATAGCTATGTCACACATTTACTCGCACTACCGGTGATTTCTTTTGTCTAATGAGGAATACCGCATTATAGCGCACATTATACCAAACGATCTATCGGCCGCTCTGACCGACCCGTTCGAATCACATGATTATCGCATAGAATAGGCTAGCCCAAGAGAATTTATACATCTATATTCTACAAGTTCTATTTAGGTGTGAGCCTGGATCTTCTATTTTTCGACACCCACTCACACAAATTCTTTATGAGTCTTCACAGTTAATGGGATCATTTCGTTCAGATGAGAATATTAGGATTACACTTTGTCTTAGCGATAAAATAGCTTTTGAGATAAAAGCCCTATCTATTACGCATAAATGTTAACTCTCTATCACTGATTACGCACTGATATGTTTAGTGATCATTCATTTTATATCTGACATTTTCATATTCTTACTTGTTCTTCCTGTCCAATAATTGACATACGCTTAACACGTTCTTCATCACCTGGCCATTTTTTTCTCACAAGCTACGCCATAAGAAAAAGCAAATATATCAATATATTTTTTTCGTATTATTTCAATGTTTTCTTACATCCAAATGATGTAAATTAATATCTGTAATAATTTCAAAATGTCGTGGTAAAAGTTTTTTAAACATTTCAATGGACCATCGTTCAAGTGCTTCAGATAATAGAGTATGATTCGTATAAGCAACAGCTTTTTTCGTTATATCAAATGCTTCATTCCATTCAATATTTTCTTCATCAATTAATAAACGCATTAATTCAGCAATAGTTAATGTTGGATGTGTATCATTTAATTGAATAGCTGTTTTTTCATGAAAATATGTAAAATCAATTTTTTTATTTGAAATTGAAAATAATTTTGAATCTTTAAAACGTCGAATAATATCTTGTAATGATGCTGATACTAAAAAATATTCTTGTTTTAAACGAAGAATTTTTCCTTCATCAAACTACGACAAAAAAAAGCAAACAAACAGATTGAATAAATATTCAAAACATATCTATTTACATTATCATTTGGATATAATACTCGAGTAATGTTTTCTGTTAAACTCTATAAAACAAAAACAAGAAACGAGCCAATGAAAGAATTTTTAAATCTTTTTTACTTCGTCAGCAACAGCACGAATGTAATCACCGGCGTTAAATAATTGAAAATTAAATACACCTAGAGCTTTTGCTGACCATAAACGTAATGTATTAACTACATTATTATTATAACCCGGTATCTAAAAATGAAAATAAGTTATCTTATTCTATAATAGATTACATCAGTGCTTTGAAAGTAGCATATTTTCGGCAATATGAATAGTAACTATCGCAATTAGAAGTCATTGAATTTTTTTCAACCATAACTTCGCATAAAAGATGATGACTATCAATTTTGATCCCTAAAAAATGTTGGATGTTATAAGTGCACTGATTTTTTATACAACCCTTTTTTTTTCAAAAACCTGTCCTTTATCGCAAACCTAGATTTACCTATTTCATTCTGCGCATGTCAATACCCCCACAAAACCAAGCGAAATAAGTATTAAAAAAACTTCTGCACTGTCTGCTTAAATCCTTTGAATTTTTTTTTCTCCTAGATACTATATTCGTGATATGAACATCTGTTTAATTTCAATCTATTCTACAAAAACAAATGTAAAACTTTTTTAACATGATATTCGATGCTATTATCGAACTGAGGATTTTTTTGAAAATCAAAAATGTTTCATTTTGGATGAGATTTCATGTATTTCGCAGAACAATCTGATAATACTAAGCCGAAGTTAGCGACTCAATCAAAGAATTTCCGTTAGAAATGAATCTCTGTCAAATGATCATTTTCAACAAGTATTGATAATATACATATTTGAGATGTTTTTAGTAGAGTTTCATTCTTACGGGTGTATCATAGGGCGTAGCATGAACAATTTCTGCATCGATCCATTTCTTTTTTCCATTTTCATCATTAATAACTTTACCATAGAATCGAACAGGTATAAGATGTTCTGGCCGAGCTATTTCCCATGGATTTAAAAATCTATAAAATTCATAGTAGATTCGCAACAATTAAACTTTTTGTTCAATACCTTAACCAATTATCTGGATATTCATCTTGATAGCCATTTGTAATTTTTTGTTGAAAAATACCTTAAACAAGACAATATTTTCGTGAAAAATTTTCTATTAATCTCTACCATAATCATATCGAAGACCATAACCATATCCGGAAAGTCCTAATGTAGCCATACTATCGAGAAAACAAGCAGCCAATCGTCCTGAAAATAATTAATCACTCGGTCAATAATTTCAATATAAAAATTACTGATCGACAAAGAAAGTTCTAGTATAATTTTGTTTAATAATGTGGTAAGCTGCATTTCCTAGTGAGTTTAATCTGTGAGACGTTTTACAATAAATGCAATAGCATGCCAGAAAACAAAAGATATGGCAACCTGTTAAGCTTGAAAGTTATTAGAAAGATCCAAAATATTTTCTAATTAACTCTAGAATATTATCCTGGGCTTCCTATGTTTTACAGATTTTTTTTTCTTCCGATGAAACCTTTTTTCATATGTGGAATTCAGTGCAAAACGTCCAAATTGCAGAGATTCATACATAATTCCAGATTCAACTAATATTTATCTTTTTGAATGATTAAAATCAATTGGCAAGAAAGTAATTATTTTTCAAAAAGGATTTACAATATCGAGAAGTATTAAAACACTTTCCATGGTGCACGTTTGTTCACACTACCATAGGTATACCACGGTGCCCATAAGTACTGACGGTATACCGACAATTTTTTTTCTGCTTGAATCATATGGTTTATTATAAATTTTAACTTACCAAGACCGCCATTGCCTAGTGCTGCATCTGCTTCAAGTTCTTCTAATTCTTCAGCATTCAAACCCATTTGATACAGAGCTTCATCGACAGTATTCTTAATGCCTAAATTAATCATACAATTTGATAATGCTCGTCCCATGTGAAATTCCAAAGATATATAATAGACGCGCTAAAAAAATCAAATGGATACTTAATTTCGAACTCAGTTTAACGCAAAACCTTTTCATCATTTTTAAAATGATCTTGATTTGTACGAATCCATCGACCAACAAGATGATCACGAACTAAAATAAGAAGTTACTAAAGAAAATGAATAATAATTTATTATAAACGTACCTGTATAAGCCGTGGATGTATAATAATCATATTTGCTAGCTATATCACGATCTTTAACAACGGTAAAATGTAAATGATGATAAAATCTCTGTATGATTCCTTGAGTATTTTCTAGCTATAACGATAAATAGGTAAAGATCAACTGAAATTTTCGAATTTACTGTTGGCATATTACAAACTTTCATTTGTTCACGATCTGTGCTTTTCGATTCTGATGCATTTTGTTTATTGCTTTTGTCTTCTAAATCGCCTGCAATGAGATTATCCGTGTTCTCAGTAACGATTGTTTCAACTAGTTTGAGTGCAGATTTCTATTAGAAAATAAATTTAAATAAACAATATTAATAGATCGTTTCAATGAATTATTGGTAATATAATAGTTCATCAATTCAAAACTTACTACTTGTTCCATGTTGAGTTATTCTTCATAAAAGAGATTCGAAGGAAATAAGTTACACAACTTATTCACGTGTATTGCAATGGGTACGAAAGAAGAACAAATACAGCGCTCGTGTTCTTTCTCTCTTTTCTTGTTATTAACGGCAGTGATGTCTTCTGCTTAGGGACCACTTCAAAATGTATTCTGGTCGGTCGGTCGCTATTCCTTCATTTCTCTATCTAGTCTATGTACACATGCACATGAGTCACCAAATCAATGTCGAAATGCACTTTGTAGTTTTTATGAGGCATCAGAAGATAAAAATACGATGGAAGTACTTAAAAATAAATTCTCTTTCAAACTGCGTTTTTATTTTTTCAATAAAATCAGTCTCACGCATCTCAGAGCGTACAAGAACTATGCAACCGTAGATGTCGCACATCTAAATTTTATAATTTTTGGTCTATAACTCCGAAGTTTCAGTTCATCAGAAAAAAATAATGGCATAAATCTTCTATGCTAGTGTTTTTCTTTATTTATTACAAAAATGGGCTCTTAAAAATCAGTCTCCCCAAAGTGCATTAGTGGAAAATATGTCAACATTGATTGGAAATTCCAGCTATGCTTTTTTTCACCAGATCACGTACTAATCCCTCTGTTCCGCTATGCCTATATTTCTCGACTATTTCTCCATTCCTTTCTTCCTCCATTAATCTACTGACTCTGATGCGAATGGATCATTACATTATTTCTAAAATGAATTCACTTATGCACTTGTGTATTTAATTTTTTAATCTGAGGGAAATAAAAAAATAATTATATACAAAAATTAGGCATAGCTTACAATATTTTTGTATAATGATTTCGTCCTGGCGCTTTTTAATTTTTTAAGTCTACTCATATTATTCACTAACGACATCATTGATATCTACAGATATGTCAGTGATTCTATAACGTTTCTATAGCAACCCTCCATCATGAAAAAGATCAGCTAGCCTCACCTATTCATTTTCTACAAAGCGCCAGCACAATATTTATCACACCTTCTGCCTGATTTTACGCTGATTCTATATATATATAAATCTTGATATTTGGACCAGTTGAAAAAAATATCCACACAGTGCATTTAGAAATAACCACTTAAAAATAAGCGTCTTCGTTCAGTGTTTCTAACAGCAAGGGTCAGCCTTTGTTACAAAGTGTCCAAGACCCTTGCGATATTCGATTCACACTCTGTTTGACACTTTGCTGATGAAAACAAAGTGTCAAGCCGACCCTTGCTGAGAATAATTTATACTTTGCTGTTCATCGAAAACATCTCCCAGTCCCGACTTCTGAATTTTGTGATTAATATTGATGTATTCATTATCCTGACATTTTCTAGTTAGTATTTGGATTTATTGGAACGTTTCTCTACATTTCAATTTTTGTTATTCTTTTATACTTGACAGCACCTTTTAGGCAACTTATGCGAATGCTTTTCCTATCACCATTGATCGAGACAAGTATAATTCGCAGTAATGTAACTAATAGATGTATTTGGATTNGCCGGAATAATTTTTTCAGCTTAAAAATAAAAAAATATAGACTTTTTCAAATGTTGAAATCATTCACTCGAAACCAACATATTTTTTTTGTTGACTTTTGAAAAACTCAGTGTGACGCAATGATAGATTCTTTTGTTGTAGAGATCAAATTAAACTTTTTGAGGTATAATACATTGATAACATTCAGCAAGACGGACAAATGTTTTTTATTAAAGCTCATTTAAAGGTTTCCACCTTAATCATAAGTTAGTACAATTTGGCCATGACTGGAATGATCATTTTACAAAAGTATCATGTAAATCTCTTGAACTGTTCAAGCGACATTTCATTTGGGCGGACTTGTCAAGCATTCTATTGAACTTTATGTGAAACACGAATCAAAAGGCATGTTGAAATAAAAAACGAGATTTTTGGATAAAAGATAGAACATGGCAGGCATCGTATCCAAAAATGCAAATTAGTATGTATTTTTACAGATTACTAGAAGAAAAATTTGCCTGAAACGTCAAACAAATTATCGAATAAAATATGTAGCTTTGACTTGAATCGATTTGGTCAAACATGTATTTCTAACAATAATCACTATGACCGAGTGGCTGCGTTGTTCAAAAGGTATCCGCGCAGTACTGTGTTCAAACTTTGACACCACCACCCATGGAACGGTCCTAGACGAATCTCTAACGACTATTTGGTTTGGATCATTCATCTGATAATATGCTCTGGTGACTAATTAATATGTATGGAAAGCTCAAACAATTGAGCACAAGAACTCTGCACCAGACTGGCCTTCTGTGAAGAGCTACAGGTAGTACTAGTTGTAGGAAAGATATTGGACTTTTGAATCTCCCACTAGCCAACACATCACACTTCAAGGTAGCCGTATTCTTTCGTCCTTCCTTTCTATTAATTACAGAAGTTATTTTGTGTTTTACACTTTCATCATATATGGATTCCATGAAAAGCTTTTTATTATTATATACATACCAAGACTAACCCGATAATTTTCAAGAAACATAACTTTAAGTCGATCACCAATTGCTGAATCATTACTAACTGTACGTGCAACATTGCAAATTAGCTTGATAACTCAAACCAAAACAAAAAACAAAAAGAAATTATCTTTCAGTGTCTATTGTATTTCAAGTTACTTAATTTCGCAGTTTGATAACCAGGTGCTGCCTACACAAAAAACAAAAATCAATTTTTATTTATTTAATCTAATTCATATTCCTTTTTTCTAACCTTTCCACCAAAAATAACTGTACGTGGTACAGTGTCAATATCTGGATTATCTTTAATACGATTGTATAGTGTAATAATATGAAGACAATTTAATAATTGTCGTTTATATTCATGGATACGTTTTACTTGTACATCAAATATTGTATCTGCATTAGCTTTTATCTTAAAATCCTTTTCAAGGACTTTAACTAAACGTTTTTTATTTTCCTAAAAAATATTTCAAGGTTTTTTTCAAAATATTTCAATAGAAACAAAAGCAAATAAACATACAAATTTGACTTGTTGAAGGTCACGGATAAATTGTTCATCATCAATATAATCACGTAATTTTGATAATTCTGATAAATCTGTAATCCAATCATCACCTATTTTACTTGCAATAAGTTCAGACAAATCTGGATTACATGAAAGTAACCAACGACGTGGTGTTATACCGTTTGTTTTATTTTGAAATTTTTCTGGATTAAGTTCATAAAAATCTTTAAATCTAGTTATAAAAATATTGGAAAAGAAAATGACTTGGTATCAAACAAAAGAAAAATATATTTACATTGTAGATTTAAGTAAATTACTGTGTAATTGAGCTACACCATTAACTACATGGGAACCGACTACAGATAAATAACCCATGTGGACTATCTAGAATGAATAAAAAGAGGAAATAGAGATTAGATGTTTTTCAGGATGAATGTGGTCATGTAATATCTCTTATATCTCTTGCGTTGACACCTAATTGAATTTCCGAGGATACCTGTAGAAGGCACTATATGGAAATAGAGATTGATGAAAAAAAATTGCACAATTTGTTTTGTGAAACCGATCTCTATCAATGTGGATCAGTTCTAGTATGAGTCGTAGATGATTTCTAGTTCGAACATTTTCTACTACATCCAAGTCAAATAATTAATCGATCAGATATTTCAGAATATATATTTGATGTTGTATAATCTTTTTAAAATCAGATAAAAACATAGGAGGATTGAATGTGTTTACAAAATTTGCATCGAGTCTTAGCTTACGATTCTTACAAGACCTTCTATGGTTCTTCGAAAAAATCATGTAGGATCGTACAGATTATATGATCTTGCAAGACTCGTACGTCAAGACTTGATGGAAGAGATCATGATTTCGTCTGATTTTCAAGACCTTTGGCCTGATCTTTTTTTATCTAGGAATAGTGGCAGTCTATTTTGAGTCAATCGTAGATAATACGATGAAGATCAACAGACTTTATTAGATTCTAACTGAGATTATTGTTATTTGGCTATGAGTAGGTCAATTACTTTGAAACTCTCATCTAGAATTGTTTAACCCGTCTTGAGTTCTTCGTCATGTTTCTTCTTTCTATAGTCACAGTATTTTTGAGGTTTGCTACTGAGTATGTTACCAAAAGAGAGATATACTTCTTTGCCGTAGACGATAGAATAGAGGAACAAAAATTCTCAGAGAGAAAAGATGCAATCGCGACCTAAAAGTTTCACTCTTAGTATTTGTCCAACTCGAAGAAATCTTAAATTCAAATATCAAATCATGGTAAAAGTATCTTCGGCAATGAGGAAACTGCTACAATATTGACTAAATATGTCGAGTTCTCTTTGTAACAATTGTAGGCTATGATATGAAGGCGTACAGGATGAATTTTGGTCTTTATCAAGCAAGACATGATAGATATCAAAGAGTGTTTTATAGATGATATCCTTCCTTATTTAGTTTTCAAGATTATTCTTTGACAAAAGTAGAAATATATTATAATATATCAACTTATATTGCAAATAGGCGAATTGAAATTCCATTAGTTTAGACTAAGAGAAACATTTTCAACAGTTTTATTTTTGGGAATCAGAATGTAGTCATTATTATTGTCGCTAAATTCTGTACAATACAATCGATATATGGATAGTAGATTCAAAAATAAGAGAGTTAATCTCCTTTCTCTCGATAGTTCATAGCCGAGACGTTGAATAATTACAATTTTTAATAGAGAAGAAGAAGTGAGGATTAGACATTCATTTTTTTCTCAACACATTATAATTAACATTTTCTTTTCATCATAAAAATGTAGTAACTAATACATCTCAAGAAATATTACTCAAGTCAAAATTATTTACAATAAAAACTTCTCTATTGTATTTTGCATTATAATCAGTCACTGATTCTGTTAACAGTTTTACATCAAAATTTCGACTTAGTTAAATATTCATGTTAGAAGATCTTTGTTATGAGTATAAATATTTTCCATTACCAAATTTATAATTAATGCAATAATAGTTGCTACAAGAAATAATATTCATACTAATACCAAAATAGATGAGACAAAGAAATTAAACGAATTAGAATAAATAGTAGGAACTGAAAAATAATGTTAAGCAAAAACTCTACTAACAATTTTGTCGGAACTTGTTTGCACTACCGCCGGTTAATTGTCGGTGTTCCGATGTTTTTTTTTGTCGCTACCGACGAATGCCACCGATATAGCACACATTATACTGACGATTTTTGTTCAGTTTGAATCAAATAGGTATTACAGAAAATAGCTAGTCCGAGAGAGTGTTTACATCTGTATACTTTAAGTTCCATTAGAGTGTGGGTCTTCTGTTAATTGACAACCACATTCTTTTTTTTACAAGTGCCCACAGTAAATGGAATCATTTTGATCAGATGAGATTATTATTATTCCACTTTGTCTTATCGATTAATTAACTTATGAGATAATAAGTACATTATATATTACTCATAAACACTAATTCTCTATCGTCCTTTTCGCACTAAAGTGTTTAGTGATCAAATGTGCATTTTTCTGATGATCAAAAGATAGTTTTCTCTTAATTTTTGTAGGTTCAAATTATTGAAATATTTACTTATTCTATATTTCATATTTCATATTCTTACTTGTTGTTCATCTTGAATAATTGACATACGTTTAACACGTTCTTCATCACCTGGCCATTTTTTTCTCACAAGCTAAATATAAGAAAATCAGATATATCAACATATATTTTTTTTTGTTTCGTATCCTTTCAGTGTTTTCTTACATCTAAATGATGTGAATTAATATCTGTAATAATTTCAAAATGCCGTGGTAAAAGATTTTTAAACATTTCAATTGGCCATCGTTCAAGTGCTTCAGGTAATAGAGTATGATTAGTATAAGCTACAGATTTTGTTGTTATATCAAATGCTTGATTCCATTCAAGATTTTCTTCGTCAATTAATAAGCGCATTAATTCAGCAATAGTTAAAGTTGGATGTGTATCATTTAATTGAAGAGCTACTTTTTCAGGAAACAATTTAAAATCAATTTTGTTATTTGTATTTGAAAATAATTTTGAATTTTTAAAACGTCGAATAATATCTTGTAATGATGCTGATACTAAAAAATATTCTTGTTTTAAACGAAGGATTTTTCCTTTATCAAACTAAGACGACAAAAAAAAAGAAACAGATTAAATAAAGATTAAAAAACCAACAAATTTTTTTACATTATCATTTGGATATAATACTCGAGTTATATTTTCTGTTAAACTCTACATAATAAAAAAACAACAATAATGAAGGAATTTTCAAATATTTCTTCTTTTTTTTCTTACTTCTTCAGCAACAGCACGAATGTAATCACCAGCATTAAATAATTGAAAATTAAATTCTCCTCGAGCTTTTGCCGACCATAAACGTAATGTATTAACTGTATTATTATTATAACCAGGTATCTAAAAATCAAAACAGATTATCTTATTCCATACTAGTTAGATTACATTAGTGCTTTAATAGTAACACATATTTGGTAAATTAAATACTAAATATTGCATTTAGAGTCGATAGAAATATTTTTGGAAATCGCTTTTATGCAGAAAAGATAAAGACTATAGGTTTTTATCGTTAAAAGAAAAGTTGGAAAATCTAGATATACTAATTCTTTTTATACAACTCATTTTGAATCTGTCTTTAGTTGCAGACATAACTTTATTCCTGTCATTGTGTGCAAAGTTGTACACCACCAAATTAGGCATGTACCGAGCTTTTTTTCGTTACTTTAAAACACTTTTAGTTCACAACCTTCAGCTCTTAAGTGAAAAGCTGAATCATGAGGCATAACTTATCAAAAGATAGACCAAACATCGCTCTACAAAATGAGACATACCCAAGCCCTGAGCAACAATGCCTTCAGTTTTTATAGGAATTTTACAAACAGACCCCGACCGAACCTGACCGAGCCCGAGCCCCGAGCCTAGGCTCGGTCGGGCTCGGTTTGTAAAATTCCAATAAAAAACGAAGGCATTATTGCACAGAGCTTAGATATGTCTCACTTTGTAGAACGATGTTTGGTCTATCTTTTGATAGGTTAGACCTCATGATTCAGTCTTTCATTTCAGAGCTCAAGATGTTAATATAAAAGTGTTCGAAAGTAATGAAAAAAAAGCTCGGTACATGCCTACACCAAATCAAGTGAAATAGAAGCTAATAAGGTGTCGAGAATATCATTTTCTGCGTTTTTCTCTTGAGTTCTTTGTGATTTTTTTAAGATTCCATATTCTNTATTATTAGGAATACATGTATAAATATAACATTGATTAATGAATCTGATTGATATGGGACAATTACATTGGTTATTTCACTTTAGCGACATTTATAACAAGGTTTAGAAGGTTAGATACAAGATAGTATAATAAGCAAACGTTGTGATTACAATCAGAGTAAGATGAGAAATTCAGTGAGAATTACAGGTAAAATTCAGAAATAAGTCAAAGAAAAGTTAGCAATGTGAGTAAGATGTGTTACATGATCAATATGAGAAGAGTATGTATTAAATATTATACACAATAAGACTGAGTTTGAACGTTATATTACAATTATTATTATGTAAGAATGGTGATAGATACGTATTGTATTGAATGATGTTATTGAGTTGTCTTTTGATTTGTTCGTCTAATGGCACGACCTTCAGGATATACAACTAAAGGCACTGATCTTGTGGTTAAATTTAATGTAGGTGATTTTTCATTTATAGCTAGACTTTCTTTTACAAGTAATCTATATGGATGTTTGTCTTTATCCATGATACTCCAACTATACCAATCAATTTTATGTTGAGTTGAAATCATATGAGTCATATGATATGACGCTTAATTGCTGATGTATATGTAGTAGTAGGAAGATCATCTTCACTACTATCCGATTCATAATATGAAATTCGGGCATTATTATTAGCATACATAGCAGCAATTCTTGCTGAACGTCTAAGGTTTTCATTTGCATGTTCTACTGATATTTCTGTTGGAGCTTCATGTTCCTTTAATCTTCTACAAGCCTGTCTGGTTGTTTTGTCTATATATGAGGCTGAACAAGAGCTACAGTTCACTTGATAGATTATATTTGACTGAAGATTTTTTGGTATTTCATCTTTGTTTTTAAACATTTGTCTTACTGCTGGTGGTGGTCTAGCTACTGTTATGACTTTTGTTGTTGGTTTTACTTTCTTCGCAAGCTTCTTCAGATCTTTACTCAATTGTTGAGTTATTTTTCCCACATATGGGACATTTATTATTATTCTATCAACTGGTGAGTCTTTTATGTCATTCTGTTCTTTATCAGCTATATTTTGAATGTTATCTTTGTTTTTGTTTGTTCATTTCTTTTGTTGGTGAATCTATTTAGTGTGCATCTAATCTAACATTCTATAAAATTTGATGGATATCCGTTTCGTTTTGTGATATCTCTTATGAAATCGAATTCTTGATGCATGATTGTGAATGAAGAAGAAATACGAATTGCTCGATAAATCATTGAGCTTACAGCAGATATTTTATAAGTTTTTGGGACAAATGAAGACCACTTACTCATCAAACCTGTGTAAGTTGGTTTTCTATATACAAATGCTTCTAGTGCTTTATTTTGACGACGTACAAGTACATCCAGAAATGGAAGTTCATTATTCTGTTCTTGAACTGATGTGAATTGTATATCTTTATGAAAATTATTGAGTATCTTTTGTATATTTGTGACTTTAGCATTTTTATGAATGATAACAAACGTATCATCTACATATCTCTTATACCACAGCATTCCTGCCTTCTTTAGCTTTTTCATAAGTTTATTTTCTAGATGGATCATAAAAATATCTGCAAGGACAACTACTAGTGGTGATCCTATTGCTACTCCATTATGTTGTAAATAATATTTATTATTAAAGGAGAAATGTATGTCCGAAGTAGCTGTTTGTAATAGTTGTTTAATATCATGACGATCTAGACAATTAGAGCACCAATCTGACTTTTTCTTAATGAATGTAGGGCAGTTATGTTCAGGCCCATACAACTTATTGAGAATTATACCGATTGTATATGATAAAGGTACTTTAGTGAAAAGGCTAGTCACATCAAATGAAATCATTCTATGTTTGGTCATAGTTGGGAGTGGGTGTGGGTGTGTGACTAGAGAGAAGTAACAAACACCCACACCGACACCCACACTCACACTCACACTCACACCCACACCCACACCCACACCCACACCCACACCCACCCTTAATAGAATAACTGATAGAAAATGGTAATACAAAAAATTTCAGTTTAAAACATGTAACACAAAAACTCTTTGACTTTGATCATTCTTATAAACTAAACACGATCAACATATGGTTTTTGTTTGACAGGTGAAAGTCACAAGTGTCTATCTGTTTCTGATGTCGAGTTAAGTCTTTTGAGTTTCTCCTTACTTACTTGTAATGCCTACTAGAATCAATTTTTTAATAAGACATGATAAATTGTAAATGATCATCGCTTCTCAATTATGTGCAATGTTGATTGTCATAATATGTTCTTCAACACATATCATGAAGTGAGAAATTCGAGAAGTTACTTGAAATCTCTCAATATCAATGCTATTTAACATTAATCGATCTTCACTTGAGGGTGTGGGTGTAGATGTAGTTTCTCTTCCTCATGAAAAAGCCATACTCAGACCCACATCCATACTAGAGATGCAACAGTGACAGTGAAGCGGTGATTCACCGGTTTTTACCAGTACTGGTGTGTGGGTGTGGAGAAGATCAAGATGCTTACCCACGCCTATACTCTTATTTAATAAATATGATAGTCAATAGAAATCTTTCTCTAATTATATTCGTATATATATATTGATACATACTCTAACACAAAAGATTGTTGTACAAATAAAACATACACTTTATTTTTTTATATTTAAATGTTACGTCAATGAGTTCATAAATGATGAGAATACAAATCTATCTTCAAGACTGATTATGAAATCATATTTAAAGAGAAATTTTCTGTTAAAAAAACCGACTTTTCGAATATAATTAATCACAATCATCTTTAAAACAATTCAACTCATGGGGTTTGAGTACGATGGAATCATTTCGTTTAAGTTTAATATCTTAATTCGATTATACAAACTTAAAGTTTGTTGTGAGAACTGGGAATAATAAGGAATAAATATTCTGATTTGTTTTAACAAAAACTTATTTGTAATCTCTTTGTTATGGTAGAAATAGATACAGTTTCATGCCGTTTAAGGTAAACCTCATCGAATCAACGGAACCTTTATGAATACTAAATAACATCTCTATGACTTGGTCTTTTGAGAACAACAACTACGAAAGAAATGCTATTTTCACAATCTATTTTACCCACAACAATAAAAAAAAAACAATTGAATCATATAGTAAAATAGACATTGTCCGTGACGACTGAATCATTTGAATTAACAAATACACTGCAACAAATTATATATACATGACATTTCTGCACATTTCACAGCATTGTTCATTTTATTTGTCAACAACTTGATCATATTCCTTATTTAGTTGCTATCGTAATTTTTTAATCTACTTGACACAAAAATAGTGCATATGTATTGAACTATTCCATTCATTCCATTGTGTTGAGATAGTTATTCTTCATTCAATTCTTTCAAAACAACCATATAATTTATTTACCGATTTAGCAGAATATGACAATACATATGACTCATTTCGACTGTTTTATTATCTTGGTATGAAGTCATTTTCTTTGCCTCTTCTGAAAAATCAATATTTAGTTCGATGTGATACTACATTCTCTGATAATGACAAAAGATGTGTTAGTTTATGAACACATTTCTTCTTTTGCCTTTGCTTGAACGAAAACTTCAATACATATCATCTTCTATCTTTTAATCGAATTTTCATCGTAAAATGATAAAAGTATTCTTAGGTCGGTTTTTTTTAAGTGAACAAGATAAGTATGACATAATAAAGTTTTTTGTTATATTCGTTAGTTAAGCAGAGAGTGCAGAAAAAAAACAAGGCTGATCAAACAAAGAGAATGATAACTGTGATATGAACTTATTGACGTCGTGATGAAAGTCACAATAGAAATATAATAACGAATAAGTTTGTTTCAAAAAGAAAAAAAAAGATATCAAACTAGTTGTGAACATGGCTTTGTCTTTATTTATTCTTATCAGTTGGTTTGTATGTATACTTACATGTTATTATGTAATTCGTCCTATTTCGATTAAATTAGTTCGATTTATTTTAACAAGTTTTTTATGTATATTATTAAGTTATATCACTTGTCAAAATCTTCCTCAATTTGATTCATTGGGAACATTAACAATTGTAATATGTTGGTTAATGTCAATTCGTTTAATTTCTTTGACATCCTTTTCAACAAAAACATTATTAACATTTCCATCATTTCTATTGAAAACTCTTTGGATGTGCTTTCCAATTTTACCTAGAAAAACAGCACAAAATCAATGGCCTATAATATTTAGTATAATATTAATTATGATTAAATTAGTAATAAATCATTGGATTTATCGATGGTTTATGAAATGTGAAATGGGAGTTAGTCATCAAAGAGTTTTTATGTTTTATTTAGCTTTAATAACAATATCGTATGTTGTTGAGATTGAAATGATTTTCGTTCGAATTTTAACTCTAGATAAATATACATTTGAATCATTTACCAATTTTCCAATATTTAGTTCATCATTACGAGAATTTTGGGGTCGAAGATACAATCGAATTATTCATACAATTTTAAAAGAATCAATTTTTGAACCAATTCGATTAGAATTTTCATCTTCAACCATTGGAGCATTAACAACATTTATTACAAACGGTCTTCTTCATGCTCATATATGCCTTGTTACTTTTGGTGGTAAATCATTATTTCCAACCTTTATATTTTTCTTTTTACATGGCATTGCTTGTTCTATTGAAACAAAAATGAAAATTCAACTTCCTAAATATGTCGAATGGATAATAACACATATATTTCTTCTTATTACAGCACCACTCGCAGTTAAACCATTTATAGATAAAGGATCTCCATTTATGATGCTTAATCCTCCACCATTTATCAACGTTGGATGGATACCAAAATTATCTCTACCTAATTTTTGTCCATGATAGACTATTTTCAAATATGATTGATACAAGACAAGAAAAAATCCTATTATTTTTAATATCTCAGTTCCAATATTTATTTGACAAAGAAGATTCGTTTATTTTTTGTATAATTTACTAATAAAAATTCTACTATTGATTTTGATTCATTTAGTATAGAAGCATATCTCTCAACAGTATTTCAAATAATATAGGGAATAAATTTAGGAGAGAGAGCAGTAGGTAAAAGATAAGAAAAGAAAGAGAGAACTGCTGTGAAAATCATTAGAAAATCTTATTTCAATCAGAAATAAAAGATAGGGATTTGGGGTGTGGATGTGGGTATGGGTGTGGATGGATGAGTGTGGGTGGGTGCGGGTGTGGGTGTGGGTGTGGGTGTGGGTGTGGGTGTGCGGGTGTGGGGTGTGGATAGGGTGAGTGAGGATAGTTGAGCATATGGGTGGGGTGGGTGAGGGCGATGGTCTTTCTTCATTCTCGCCTACCCTCACCCACACCCACACCTATACCCACACCCACACGCTCAAGATTGTATTTATCTTTTCTTCAAAATAGATAGGTCAGTCTGTTTTTCGATTACATACATTCGAGCTATCAATAGATCTGAATGAACTGACTTAAACAGATTAACAAGTTTCATCTCAAGTGCACCAATGACTACCCAATATGTGCATGAAAACATTAGTTATCGGGTCGTATACAGCTTTCTAAAAGGAAAGAATGAAAGATGCATCCGATTGAAAATGTGAAAGATCGAAAAATGGTTGGTTAATTTATTACGCTCCATGTGTGCTTGCTAGTTTTCAGAAATTTTTTGCAAGAAATGAATTCAAAAACATTGTTTTCGGTATTTTGTACAATGTAAGGTTTTTCTTCGATAAATTTGCCAAATTTTCTCATATAATGAAAAGTGACATCTGCAATTATTGGAGAAATAAATTTTTCACTCATGTAAATGTAGTATGATCAATGAAAATCCAGTCAGTAATGCAATTGATATGCAAATTGAAAATTTAACCATTCAAAAATGAAACTTACTAGAACTTATTTGTAAAGGACAAACTACTGCTTCTTATCAAGATGGCAACATGTTTATAATACCCTGTAAACAGTGATGCAAAACGCTTGATAGTTTGTGGTCTCGCGATAAAAAATGTAGCGAGAAATACGAATCGTATACGTCATGCATTACCTGTGGCAACACCTGGCTGATGTGTTACATTAGAAAAAACTTGGGAGAGAGATATAAAGTAAATTAGGTTCACTAATAAGCTGTATATTTCATTTTGACCTAAAATGAGTTTCATGCGCAAGATGCCCTACACTACGACAATGAAAATAGGCTTCAATGAGTATCGTTCGTCTATAGCCAGTGTATAATAAATCATCGAGTCGTGATTCAGCTCGAAGAAACTCAAAATATTTTGATCAAACTTTTCCAAACAACAAATCTATTTTTTCTCATTAGATTAAAACAATCGATGATCCTACTGCAGAAGAGAAAAACACTCATACGCTGATTGGTGCATTGAACGCAGTAATCGGTGTGAGTGTGAGGACGTGAGTGTCTCTATTCTGCAGTAGTACTTCATATTTCCAGAATCGCCTTTCATCAGAAAGTAAACTAAAGATATTCGAAATCACAAAAATTATGTTGATTTTGTTTGTGAACGTTTGATCCAATCATTTTGAGTTTCATCCTAAAGTGTACAAGTGTATATGTATTACATATTCCAATCGATGACTCATGCATATGTGGCTACAGACTATGTAAAGAATATAATTATACACAAATTACACGTAAATACTATACCTTTTATTCATTGCGAGAGGTAAACATATAAAAGCATAAACACTTTAGAAAAAACGTCTAACAGCAGAAGAAAAGTACTCATAATAAATGGCATCGAACAAAGTAATACTGGATGTTGGCGGTGAAAAATATACGACAAGTGTTGACACACTGACAGCACGAGAAAAAAATACATTCTTTACGGAGCTCTTCGCGCGTCAATGGCAACTGGAGCATGATCCCAAGGATGACAGTATTTTCATTGATCGCAACGGCAAACTCTTTGCTTACATTCTTGAATACTTGCGTACGGGTTCAGTACCAAATAGTGTGAAGAATGATGAATTACTTCGACAAAGTCTCGTCGTTGAAGCAGATTATTTTCGTCTGCAAAGTCTACAGAATATGTTAGCTAAGCCAACATTTCCAGGTACCACTTTGTTGGAGAGTTATCAGCACAAAGAGAAATTAAACGAATTTTATGGTAAGCCTGATCAACAATGGGAGTTAATATATAAAGCGTCGCGTGACGGTTACGAAGCAAAACATTTTCACGCGAAGTGCAATGGAAAAGGACCGACGATGACTATTCTTCAATCCACTGACAAGTTTCTATTTGGCGGTTACACAACAGTTCCATGGTCTTCCGTGGTTTCTGTTAAGCGTGATCCTCAAGCATTCTTGTTTACTTTGACAAATCCTCACGATATTCCGCCTACGAAGTATCCAATCCATCCTGATAGAGCGAACGACGCGATGTATCACTTCGAAAGTGCTGGGCCCTGCTTCGGCAAATACGGTGCGTCATGCGATGTGAGTGTGAGCAACTTTCCCAAGGACACCAGTTACCAAAATACTATATCATTTCCTGGAGCTTATATTGATACAACTGGCAAAGGAAAGCAAACTTTTACTGGAAAATCCATCTTCGGTCTATCCGACATTGAAATATTCAAGCTCGTTAATTAAAACCATCATTGTTCAACACATACTCTCAATTCAGGACATACGATTCTGACTGATCGCACTCAATCGACTGAATTTTCTTTCTAATTGCAATAAATTTGCTTCAGAGTACGCTTATTATTACATATCTTGTAGACAAAATTTAAAGTAGAAGTTTAATACTTATTTATAAATTGATCGGCAAAAGTATAATCTTTCTGAATCTAAATATCAAGAGAACATGACTCATCTGCCTTTGAATTTTTTGTCAAAATACACGGGAGAAATAATGACATTGATGACTTGATGATACAGTACAACTTTCGAAAATTTAAAAAAGCACGGATAGATGCAGAGTTACATAGAAAACACGAATCCCACATGAACGTGAGGGTGTCGAATGAGTTTATTTCATAAAAGGATAATTTCAAGCATCATACGACGCGTTTGCATTGCATATCATGCCTTGAGTTTGTATATGAAGTCTGAATTTACTTTTTGCAAATCAGTGTGAAATGGTTATGTCAAGAGCACAATATTCTGACATGAGAAGATGAATCGAGATAGTATCAAACGACGGACATCCTTGTGTACAACATAGCACTAAGAAACACATTATTCTAACATATCAAACTAATTAAGGTCAGAACAAGCGATGAACGTCCTTCTATGTGTCTTAGTCTCAAGGAGCATAACAATCGGACTTGACAAGCTAATCGAGTTTTCAACAAGAGATGAATGTCCTTCCTTATGGCATAGATGTGGGATATATTATCCAGACGCAACTGAGCTTACGAAAAGTGACCGACATCCTTCCGAATGATACCCCTTAATATCGTTGAAGGATACATAATATTTTTCCATATCTGTTTCCCTTCCTTTTTCTCTAGCTCGTATCTTTATTATCTCTCTTTTCCATTTTTCTTTTTTCTCTCTATCTCTCTCTACGAGAATACAGTTTGAAAAAGTGAGAGTTAGAATAGAGTTCAGTTTTAGTTGAGTTGAGTTCTAATAGTAGTTTAATTTGATCGAGTCGAAGCACATACATACAGAAATAGTGTGTACATATGGGCGTTGCCAGCCGGCATGATACCCCATAGGAAATAATATTATTACAAGGAAGAGCATATAATGAATTTTATACCAAATGAAAGCTCGTCAAAAATGGGATTTATTGGTACTAAATAGTAAGGGCTTTGTGAACTTTGTAATGTCGAAATTAAGAAATTTGAGAAATTTCATACATTTTTGGTATAGAAAACCAAGATGCCAGTAATTCAGAAATGGAGTAAAAATTTTTTTCTCGAATTTTTTACATGATTCGATAGAGCTTGTCGAGCTCTACAAAAATCTATGTATTGGAGTTTCTTTACGCCGTCTTTTTAAGATAAAAAATTCCAAAAAAACTGCTTGGAAAAAACTGAAAAAGATGTTAAATAACTCACATTTTCTATATGAAAGAAAAACACGAGATTTTTACATAACATTAGCTTTTTTCATTATTTTTATCACCTCACATGTTTCGAAATATATTCAATAGGTGCAGTGTGAAAACTTGAATCGAATAAGTGCGCGTTACCAGCCCACCTGATATCCCATGATAGACTTACTTACATAACCTTCGAAAAAACCTGATTTTTTTACCATTTGTACTTCGTATATGATGCTATCGATCTAGCAATACATGAGATCTATATTCCTGAAAATAAGAGTTATTAAGTACGTCCTTATAACCATTGTCTTACACGTGCTTTTCATCGTATTTGTTATCATTTCGCTCTCGCTGCATATTTTGTACGTAATAAAGTTTCAACCATTCTGTCATATCTTCGCGTTCTAGTTGCATCATCTCCTTCTAATTTTGTTTTTTTTCTCGCTCTATCCTTCATTTGATTTAACGCTCTTTCACGCGATAGCAAACATTTACTATCTTTTTACTATGTTCTCTGCACAGCTTGAATGGAGTTGTGCTAAATGAGATTCTACCCAAGGGGGAAACGCCGTACTCCTGTACTCTTAGAGTACACAGAGTCCACCGGAGTCCACAGAGTCCATTGGAGTACACGAAGTCCAGTAGAGTCCACGAAAGTCCAGCAGAGTACAGAGTCCAGCGCAAGTACATCAAGAATGAACGAAAAATCGCATTGTTGTCCCGATGATTGGACTTCTTGTACTNGGGTATCAGGTGGGCTGGTAACGCGCACTTATTCGATTCAAGTTTTCACACTGCACCTATTGAATATATTTCGAAACATGTGAGGTGATAAAAATAATGAAAAAAGCTAATGTTATGGAAAAATCTCGTGTTTTTCTTTCATATAGAAAATGTGAGTTATTTAACATCTTTTTCAGATTTTTCCAAGCAGTTTTTTGGAATTTTTTATCTTAAAAAGATGGCGTAAAGAAACTCCAATAAATAGATTTTTGTAGAGCGCGACGAGCTCTATCGAATCATGTAAAAAAATTCGAGAAAAAAATTTTTACTCCATTTCTGAATTACTGGCATCTTGGTTTTCTATACGAAAAATGTATGAAATTTCTCAAATTTCTTAATTTCGGCATTACAAAGTTCACAAAGCCCTTACTAGTTAGTACTAATAAATCCCATTTTGACGAGCTTTCATTTGGTATAAAATTCATTATATGCTCTTCCCTGAAATAATATTATTTCCTATGGGGTATCATACCGGCTGGCAACGCCCATATATATTGGATATATGCTTAATCAATTAATCAGTTACTAAAATCAGAATTAAATCATTATATATATATCCACAAATAAATTTGTTACACTAACGCTTTAGATATTTTAGTCGTCGGCGCATTGATACTAGAGAGAATGGGTCTTAATGGAGTACCTTCCTAGAAAACATGATATGAATCTACTCTAGAAATAAATTGTTTTATTTAGAATAAAACAATTAATTTATGTGGTTTAGGTATAAAATATAAGTAAGCTAATTCAATTTTATTTTTATCTGGTATCATTTTAGTATATTGCCATTGTGTAATTTGTCGTTTTCTACGTAAATCATTTGATGCATGTATTACTTTATAAAATGTATCCATTAATGGATTAGATGATAATTCTATATAAACATTTGTTTTCATTTGATATTCTTTTACTGTTCTCTCATAATCAATAGCTGAACCAATATGAAAAACACCAGTTTTATCAGTTATACGTATGATATAATGTGTTTTACGTATCTTACGTTGGATTGATTGAATTAATTTCATATCATTCCGAATACGATATATATCAAGATAGGGTAATGAACTTGCATATCTTTCAATGAAAATCATTTCAAGACTATCAGAAAAATGTTTATTTTTTAGTGCTTTATGTGGTATACTATGACGATAATGAAGATCAGACTGAAATTTGTAAAGTATCATACTAAGTTCCTTTTGAGTTTTTTCTTGAAGTTTTGCCTTAGGATAAAGAAGATTTTGATTCAATCATATGTAATTTGGTTTACCTATATGAAAAAAGAAAGAACCAATACATATGTATAGATAACATTTATAAGAAAACTATTGTGAACTACCTTCCATATGAAAATTTCTTGCGTCTGAGCGCATGTAAGAACGCATTATAACTGCGTTTGAAACGTTACGAATGAAACGAGGTGTGGATGTGGGTGTTGGTGTAATCCCTCTACTCACCACCACCCACACCCACACCCACAACCCACACCCACACCACCCACACCCACACCCACATCCACACCCACACTCTTTCGTATTTTTCGATCGGAAGGAAGTATTTGCTAAGACTAAAAAGTAGTTTTTCATGATCAACAACTCATGCTCTACAAATGATGTAAAAAAACGCAAAAAAATTTTTACTGAATATTTGCATTGCCAGCACCTTACATATCGGAACATGTGGTAAGCAGAACATGTCCCATAATATTCGGTTGAAGACCACATATACCAAAAACTGCGCTCTCAGCGAAGCGTGACGTGGCATAGAGAATTACATAATTAAGAGATTGATAGGTGCATCAAATAATTTCGTAAATTAGAAAGAAAAAACGAAAGTTAATTTATGATTTACTTGAGTTTAGCATAAGTTTGTACCAAACAATCAAATGAAGCTAAATTTGAATCTTCTTCTCGGTTCCATATAAACACATAGTGACCATATAGTGAAATATTATTCGAACATTTTTTTTTTGGTTGTACGACGTTTGCGCGCGTGACTCTTACGCGTAAAATATTTTTTTTAATTTAAAATTTTTAGATTTTCAATTTCATTTGGATCTGGTGCTAGACATATATGATCTTGATACATTTGATAAATATTTCCATCATGACGAGCACGCCCTTTGCAGTTAGCTTTTACACAACGCCATACTAATCTATCTCGACGATAACGAAAACCATCGAGAAGAAGTTGATCGCTTCCTTTAATTGACTTGATGACAGACATGTTTTTACTTTAAAAAATTGTCAGAATAATTTGTATGCACACTTATCTTGTNTAATTCTCTATGATCAGGTATAACCCAATTGATTTTTAGTTGATAAACAAATATTAGTTTAGATTGAATAACCAGAAAATCATTTTTCAATTGTTTTTATTATTTTAATAATAATAATCATTGATAAAGGAAAAAAAATCAACATTATAGTTAAAAGTACTTGATAGAGATAAAAAATACAAAGTGAATATAGACAGACAAGAAATACATAAGTATCTAGACGTAGATTCTTCTGTTTTATATGTTGAGAAGAATAATCAGTGGCAAGAATATATATACAGGGCGGCTCATAAGTTACCCGATACTATTTTATTGCGAATAACTTTTGATAGGAACAAGATAGAGAGGTGCGGTTTTCACCGTTCGAAAGAGGATGTGTCACTGCATAGTTCCATGTATTACTCAATGATCTCGATTAATAATCAAATAGTGAATCACTGATTTTCGGAAAAGTAGTGATATCATATGAAGATGACATAGAGGTTCAATTCTATGAAGTGCATGAAACCTGTGTACCTACAATCCACGTCCACAGCCTCATTCCCTAGTGTTCCACCTGTAGCTTTGGAATGACAGAAGATAAAAGTTTCGAGGATGAAGGTGTGGGTGTGGGCCTGGATCGTAGGTACGCAGGTTTCGTGCACTTCATAGAATTGAACCATTATGCCATCTTCATATGATATCACTACTTTTCCGAAAATCAGTGATTCACCATTTGATTATTATTTGAGACCATTGAGTAATATATGGAACTATGCAGTGACATATTCTCTTTCGAAAGGTGAAAGCCGTAGCTCTCTATCTTGTTCCTATCAAGAGTTATTCATAATAAAAGAGTGCCGAGTAACTTATGGATCACCCTGTATATTTTATGAGCAATCAATCTTATAATTGTGAAAACTTACGAATTTTCCAGGCACTATCGAATATGTATTGAGGTTAAATATGAACTGCATGTGTTCTCACTGTTTAGAAATACTCTTTTTAACCACGAAAAGTTTTCATAAGAGGATTTCCATTTTGCTTTCTATCTTCTTTTGCTCGCTTTCAAACGTTCAGTATAATAAAATAATCTAACTTTCATTCTCATAAACCTTGCAGAGAATCTATCTTTGACGAATGAAAAAAATGCTCAATTTTCTTCAAAAATTCTAGAATTGGATGATAAATGCTTACATAAAGAAAAATAAATCGCATTGGTACTATAGCAGCACTTTATCATTAATTAAAAAAGGTTACGATTGGCTTAGCAATTGAGATATTCGTTGGATATTACTGTTTTTTTGGCTATCATCAATTATTCACTTTCGTTCTAGGTCTTTCCCGCTGGTATAATTTGTCTATTCATTTGATAATTTCATTTTATGACTATGGAATCTGAACAACGACTTTCGTCATCAGATGCAACAATCGTTGGTATTGTTGACAACATCAAAAAAAGTGCTAGTGATTCATGGAATTATCGTGGTCTAGAACTTTCAAATGAGATGCTTGTTGTACTTATAAGTCATCCAAATATTGATAAAGCTGCTGCTACTCTTGATGTAACGATTGGTAGTTTAGCTGATCCAAGAGATGTTCCTGGCATTGCTCATTTTCTTGAACATATGCTTTTTATGGGTAGTTCAAAAGTATGTCTTTGTTTACAATAGAAGCCTGTAGGGTGTAATATTTTTTCAATTATTAACTTGCTCTGTCATCATTTCGGTGAACTGATCCTCACCTGTGATCGCAAGGACTTTCTTCTGTATTCTATAATGTAAAGTTCTTTTTGCAACGAATACAGTTGTCATGATATCACTATGGATGAAGAGTAACTGAAAATAAAAAAAGATAAAGTAAAACTTCTCGATATGGATCCTGCCCGAAGTAAGTGTACATGTATTTGACATACAACTAGGTCTAACAAAAGATTTTGCTCATAAAGCATCTCTCGACTTGCACTCCTTCTGATGAGAGACAGGCAACTCTCGAGTTCGGCTTCTATTGCATAGATGAATCTATGCCTTTACTTCTTCGTTCCGATCATAAGTCATAACGATTGCCGATGTTATGCTGACGATGTACTAGTCTGTTGCGTATAGATTTATTGATGCTGAGATCATTCTATGCACAGCCACTATCGATTGCACAATTTGCTGGTTCTACTATTTCGATAAGTATATACTGAATTTCTCCAGGAGAAGCATTGAATTCTCAATGAACATAAGGTATGAAGAATATTCATAGTCGCTTCCGTTTTTGATATAACAAAAAAGAGGAAAGCTGGAACACTACATGTGTGTCGGACAAAAATGAGAGAAAGCATACTGGATTATTATAAGCTCGTTATCCTGATAACAGCTAAATTTACAAGAGAAGATCGTCTTAATCAAAGACAATTCCTTTTGAGAACATCTATAAATGATTTGATGTGATCCAAAATCTCTTCTAAGCATATCAGATTTCTAATTTCAATGATCAATAATGAGCACTATTTTATAAAATTTTTTAGTATCCAGGTGAAAATGAATATTCAAAATTAATAGTAGGAAATGGTGGTTGTTCAAATGCTTTTACAAATGATGATCATACGAATTTTAATTTTGATATTAACCCAAGTTTATTACCCCATGCACTTGATATGTTAGTTTGATTGTTTATTTCTTTTCGATGAAATGAATATTTTTATTTGGTTTAGTTTTGCTCAATTTTTTATTTCACCACTCTTTGCTGCATCATCAATCGATTGTGAATTGGAAGCAGTTAATTCTGAATACGAAGCAAATTTATTTAAAGATACATGGCGTATTTCTCAATTAGAAAAATCTACATCGGATCCAAAACATCCATATTCAGGATTTTCTATTGGTAATACAGAATCATTAAGAATAATACCTAAACAACGTGGAATTGATATTCGACAAGTACTTTTGGATTTTCATAAAACTGAATATTCATCAAATCGAATGAGTTTAGCTGTACTTGGCAATCGTATGTTATCAATTTTTCAAATAAAAATAAAACTAATTTTGTTTTTAGAATCACTTGATGAACTTCAATCACTTGTTATTAAAAGTTTTAAAGAGGTACAAAAAAAAAAACTGAAAAAACCAAGATATCCTTCTGATCCATATGATGAAAGCAAACGAAAAGTTTGTTTTTTTATTAAACACACTTTTTTGGGATTTTGTTTTTTTTTAAAGACAATTTGTTATCATGTTCCTGTGAACGAATCTCGTCAACTAANTTCTTCGTTCCGATCATAAGTCATAACGATTGCCGATGTTATGCTGGGGATGTACTAGTCTGTCGCGTATAGATTTATTGATGCTGAGATCATTCTATGCACAGCCACTATCGATTGCACAATTTGCTGGTTCTACTATTTCGATAAGTATATACTGAATTTCTCCAGGAGAAGCATTGAATTCGCAATGAACATAAGGTATGAAGAATATTCATAGTCGCTTCCGTTTTTGATATAACAAAAAAGAGGAAAGCTGGAACACTACATGAGTGTCGGACAAAAATGAGAGAAACGTACTGGATCATTTTAAGCTCGTTATCCTGATAACAGCTAAATTTACAAGAGAAGATCGTCTTAATCAAAGACAATTCCTTTTGGGAACATCTATAAATGATTTGATGTGATCCAAAACCTCTTCTAAGCATATCAGATTTCTAATTTCAATGATCAATAATGAGCACTATTTTATAAAATTTTTTAGTATCCAGGTGAAAATGAATATTCAAAATTAATAGTAGAAAATGGTGGTTGTTCAAATGCTTGTACAAATGATGATCATACGAATTTTAATTTTGATATTAACCCAAGTTTATTACCCGATGCACTTGATATGTTAGTTTGATTGTTTATTTCTTTTCAATGAAATGAATATTTTTATTTGGTTTAGTTTTGCTCAATTTTTTATTTCACCACTCTTTGCTGCATCATCAATCGATCGTGAATTAGAAGCAGTTAATTCTGAATATGAAGCAAATTTATTTAAAGATACATGGCGTATTTCTCAATTAGAAAAATCTACATCGGATCCAAAACATCCATATTCAGGATTTTCTCTTGGTAATACAGAATCATTAAGAATAATACCTAAACAGCGTGGAATTGATATTCGACAAGCACTTTTGGATTTTCAGAAAACTGAATATTCATCAAATCGAATGAGTTTAGCTGTACTTGGCAATCGTATGTTATCAATTTTTCAAATAAAAATAAAACTAATTTTGTTTTTAGAATCACTTGATGAACTTCAATCATTTGTTATTAAAAGTTTTAAAGAGGTACAAAATAAAAAACTGAAAAAACCAAGATATCCTTCTGATCCATATGATGAAAGCAAACGAAAAGTTTGTTTTTTTATTAAACACACTTTTTTGGGATTTTGTTTTTTTTTAAAGACAATTTGTTATCATGTTCCTGTGAACGAATCTCGTCAACTAACAATCAATTGGGTTATACCTGATCATAGAGAATTATATTATTGCAAAGTACGTGTAGATTACTTGACTACTTTATGTTAATCTTCATATATTGAATATCTCGATTACATTCAGCCTGAATCATATCTATCACATTTGATTGGACATCAAGGTGATGGTTCATTATTGTCATATTTAAAAACATTGGGTCTTGCTATTGGATTGGTAGCCGGTGAATGTAATTCTGCACCTGGATTTAATTTTTTTTCTATTGATATTCAACTAACTATTGAAGGATTAAGTAAATAGAGTACAAAAATTAGTTAGAAATTTTGTTTTGTTAAAATTAGGTCAATGGAAACGAGTTCTTCATAGTGTTTATCAATATTTGGCTATGTTGCGTAAGAAAGGACCAAAAGAATGTATTTTTAATGAAGGCAAAGTAGGGCGAAGAGTTAAGTTTGAAGAAAAAAAAAATTTGTGTTGTTGTATATTTAGAATATAAATCAAATGGAATTTCAATTTC